AGCATACATTACCATACCCCAAAACAAAACAAAAACAAAAATCACCTGAGATAAAAAATAAATATTAGCTACAACAATCATGTATCCAATTAGAAATTATTTTCGGTGTTTTGTTTCAGACTGGACCTGCTAATACTGTATATATGTGACCTTCCACAGGAATTTGATGCTAAAGGTGAAAGCACGCTCACGGCACGCTTGCACGACACGCTTAGCGTGCCGTAGATCACGGATATGCGCATATTAAATTGAAAAAACAAAGATGGACACACTTGCCTTTGTTTTGATAAATTTAACACGCTAGACCTTTTGTTTTTTCGTAGCGTGCCATATGTCACGGTAAGTGTGCGAATTATAGCACGCTTAGCGTGCAATTGGGGTAAGACACGTAAGATCGTAAGATCGTAACCATAGCCATTTGAAAATCAACACTTAATGGTCTTCTAGCCTGGAATTAATGCGAGATCAGTGTAAACCAATTTCTCCGGCTGTCGGCTGTTGACTGGAATCGCAAAGAGGCCTGCTATCGCATACGAGGCACTAAAGTTATGTCGCCTGAAAATTATAGTTATGTCACGTACCGGAATATTTATTAGCAGTAATGCACAGAGAAATGAAGTTGAATAAATTAGTTTAATATATTTCTTTAAGCCATGCTGAGACGAACGAAGGTAATTAAATCAGAGAAACAAAAACTGCCAAGAAGTTTCTATAGGTTGAGGAAGGCTAAACATTTCTAGATGACCGTTCCATGCATATACAATTTTCGAAGCTTATCTATCCCTAGCTATTTTTCGTAGAGAAAGGAATCCTAAAATTTTCGGAACCGAAAATAAGATGAAATTCTCACTTCCCTAAAACTTTCAATTGGAAGCTAAATTTTTCGGGAAAATAATGCTGAAGCCCTTGTAATTTCTACCCATAAATCCAGTAGGTCCCACCGTTCACTGTTTATGCTTTTCAAGCGACAACGTTTTTTCAATCAGATATTCTCACTGCGATCGCTTAGGTAGAACTTTTTCTTTCTCGATAGTTACCAAAAAAGGGTGCTGTTCATAATCATTTACGGTTCCTTTTTGTAGGGGATTTAGCTTATAGATAACACGCCTTGCATGGTTTTGCGCACACTGAAAGCGTGTTGTACTTTTTCGCACGGAGCTTTTGTTTGAAAACTTTAACACGTTCTTTTGTTCGACTTGCTCACGCTTAATTGTCTCAAGTGTGTCCTCTGAAACAAAAGAAATTGCTAATGAGGCAAGATTGCAAGCGTGCTAAAGCGTGTTAAAATAAATTCTTTTGTTTTAAAGTGAAAGCATGTCGTGCGCGTGCTTTCACCTTTAGCATTAAAATCCTGTGGAGGGTCACATATGTAGAGCAAAATTCTCAAAAAAAATAAATACATTCAACTCTCGGTAACTCGAACGCTCAATAACTCAAACCTCCTACTAACTCAAAGAAATTTTTGTTTCCCTTCAGGTAATTTCTATACAATTTTACCCCATTAACTCAAACGATTGCATGATTGTCAATCGTGTATTCTTTGTCTTTTGTACTTTTTTATTTTCAGTCCAATTCAAATACAGTGTCCATCCCTGTATGGTGATCAAGCTTTGTTGCTTAATTCCTTTTTCAAAATATCATTATATCTCTTGTTCCCCCGGAAGTAAACTTTCCATGGTACTTGCATTTCTATCCCATCCCATTTCCCTCTTTCCTTATTTTCGGTTATTTGCTTCAAAATGTTAGATTTCCCTAGAAAGTTCAAGTTATTGGGAGTCGACTGTATAGAATGTCCATTTAGACTTTTGTCGCCATGTTAGTACACTTGAATACAAGTTTTGTTGACTGTTTTTTTTTGTCAGGGATGAACGCAAAAACATTGACACTGGAATGCAGGAGTATTGCAGTAACTCTGGAAATGGTGATGACAGCTCATTAGGAAGTGAAAGGGAGACTGATTCTTGTAGAAATAAAAGCAAAGGTGACGATGAAAATGGCATTTGTTATCATAATGACAGTAATGATGGTGATGATGATGGAGGTTATGATGGCGATGAAGAAAATGATGATGATGATGATGATGGTGGTGGTAGTAAAGGTGATGAGAATGATGATGATGATGTCGATGTTAATTTTGATGTTGATGACCATGATGATGATGACAATGTTGATGTCGATGTTGATGATGATGACGATGACGATGACGATGATGATGACGATGACGATGATGATGATGACAATGACGACAGTAGTGGAGAGGAAAAGATGGAGGTAGACAAGAAACCTGACAAAACTGACACAAGCTCTCAGGTACTATGATCCTTTTATTTTACACTGTTAAGGTACCAAACTAAAGTTCACAGCTGTAGCAAACAGTATTGTCTTGTTAATTTTAAATAATTTACTCATACATGTATGTGTTTGCTTGATCTATATAATATTGTACTATTATATTGGGTTGAAAAAGTATAAGTGCAGCCACACAAGCTTTTTCAACCAATGACTCTTCCAGATCTACAGTGATAGTACTTCCCTGGAAAATGATCAGTAACTATGAAGAAATTCCAAGCAATAATTTATAGGAAATTTAGGATTTTTATTTCCAAACTTCTTTTATGCTGTTGATTTCACTTTTTAATTTCCGTTCATCTATAGTAATATTATCATTATCTTTGAAAGGTATCTCAAAAAGCTAACTCAGGTGACTTCTGATTGGCCACTAACATCACAAATCTCCTTGAGTAATTTTCTAGTGAAACAGATACGGTTATGATGTAAGATCAAGAGTTAGATAGGGCCTTTTTGCATCCGTCAACTTTTCCTTCAAAAATCCCCCATGTCATTGTTTTCAGAACAATGATATTATATCTGAGACAGTGGTAAGCTCTTTTTCAGCCAGTGAAATTAACCAGTAGCTGGCTTGTAGTGATATGCCTGCACATTCCCCTCTTGTTCTGGTTTTACAATCATGGCTTTGACAGGAAGGGTTGAATATGAGGTGAGTGTCAACATGTTTTATTTCCACACAGAAACCTTTTGTGTATTATTTTATTGCAGTTTGAATTTTCACCTGCTGAACTTGATCATTCCAGTTACTGTCATTTAAAAGACTGCCCCGAGTGGAAATGCAAATATGTGAGTTGCTTTTCAAGTACAGTCGACTCTCTCTTAATTGACACCTCTATAAGATGGACACCACTGTAAAATGGACACCTATAGTTGGTCCCTGCCTTTCTTTACTCCCTTTATTTGACTATTTGTAAGACAGACATCTCTCCAAGACGGACACAAAGGTGTCCCAAAGTCCCAGTCCCAAAGGTGTCCGTCTAAGAGAGAGTTGACTGTACTGTACCACCCAGAAGATTTCTTGCAGATGTCCAGAAGTGCACAGTGTTATAAATATGATATGCATGTTCATCATGTCTGCTTGCTGGCCATCATAAAGTGTACTCAGTATAAAAAGCACACACACAAAAACCCATCAAAACATGCTTAGTATTGTTATTGTAAAACCTATAATAAGATTTAAACTCATCAACAATAGATGAGGTTGGGTGTAGGTGCCTTAGAGGATGGTGATGCCAAGTGCATAAAAAGACAAACACCACATATCCATAGCAACCGGAGAGCAGCAACCACCACCGTCACTGTCACATTGACCAAACAGATCAGGAGAAATAAAAAACAGCACATACTTACCTAAAAGGAAGTGATAGACAGGGAAGAAATCAGCTCAATGCAGGGTAGATGCAAAACACTTAATTATGCAATGAAAATGCAATGAAATTCAGCAATGTCATCCCTGAAAAGTCATCAAACCCATCCAGCTACCAAGCCTTCCCCTGTAGAATGTGGCCACTACAATCAAAATTGCTGGCCGGCATTAATATTTTAGACTTTAACTTTGCCTCTAAGCCTCATAAAAATCAAGCCAGTAAGATAAATGTACAGCTGTACAACCTATAAACAATACCCCTGTCTCTTTCCTTACTGATATTTTCTACTTACCATACCTTAGGGAAAATGAAGCGACCATGACAAAGTCTTCATCCAAACAAATTATTTCGAGCACCTACAAATAATTATGTTAGTAAAAGCAATTACAAATATTTTAAGGCTTGTTATTAACATAAAAGACTCGACACTTGATTTAACAATAGAGTTCAATTGTAAGTGATCTCTTACAGTACAATTGCAGTTTGATAAACAAACAGTATTGTTTTCTGATAAAACAATCATTAAATTGCAAGTTGATTTTACAGCCTGAAAGCTACTGTTGTAGTTTTCAAGTAAATCTAAATTTATTTTTTCTGGAATAAAATTAAGCTAATAACGGCTATGGTTGTTTGAATTTTTATACACAATTACTTAAACATACTACCTCTAATAACCAGGGATTTCCCATGTATATCTTGCAGGTTAAACTGCAAATTAAATATCACATGAAAAACCATCCAGGATGGGAAAAATGTCCAAGCTGCAAAAGTGTGAGTGCCGTTATCAAAGAACATGCAAAACAGTGTCAATTTCAAGGATGCTGGGTTGAATACTGTGACAGAATCAGGTGATTGAATAACATATGAAATCCACGTTGCATTAATTAGGGTTTTGCATGTCTTCAGTACCTTCTTCAGTACTGGTTTCTCAATCGTTAAACTTGAGTGTGGGGGAGGTTTTTGTGGTTATTATTACACTGAACTTTATTTTTACATTTACCATATATAATATGCTTTATTGACCGAGCATTGGGTCAAGATGGGTATTTTTTTTTTGGCATTTTAACAGTCTGAGAAAAAGATGGATCATTGTACATTTCTGGGAAACTGTCCACCTACCCCTCCAAAAAAGTATAATGATCCAGAAAGACAATATCCACCCATCTCAACTGAAACATTTTATGTTCTCACCAAAAAGAGAACTTTCTCTTGTGGGACAAACACCGAAAATCAGCTGATGCATCTACTGATATATTGACCGAGATATCGGTCGCATGTAGGTCAATGTATGTCGGCCGATATGTCAACCAATATATCAAACGAGGGGTACACAAATTACACAGGATCCATTTTCTTTCCATCATAACTCTTTTGATCAAAACTTGTTTATTAAGGAGTATAGATGGGAAGAAAGAGGAGAATGATGGACACCTGGCCAGGATTAAGATGGAAGAGGATTCTGAAGATAGATCTCCTGCTGCATTGGACGTTGCTGAGCAGTACAATAACACCGATGTTGGAAAAGCATCGATGGAAAGCCACAAGGTTGTAATTATCAATATAACTCTCAAAGACATGTTGTGAACCTGGTGTGTGGGAGGGGGTGGACTCTCCCATAAAAATGATGGGAATTCTTGTTGTCTTGCTTAGGGGTGTAAATTGCAGATTTTGGTCTACACTTAGGGTGTTTGGGATGGAAAGTCACTTTAGTTGCTTATTCAGGTATCACCCAGGGCTGTGTATAAAGAAATTTACAAGAAATGCTGTGACATTGACCGCACAGAAATCTAGCATCTAAAAAACAACCCAACATCCCTGGCACTCATTTAGATCCCTAGCTCTTATGTAAATGTCTATTTTAGTATGGTCAGTGTAAGGTTGGGCCACATTCACAGGGGTTCAATTTTAATTTTCTGACGAGCATCCCTGTCACTTTTATATAGGAGTCTCCTCCTCCCCCTTCCCACCCCCACAGTGGTTTTGACACATGTGTTTACCTTCTTATCCACTCAGTGACTAAACTGAAATTAAAGTGATTATTGCCAACTTTTATTAAAGAAATAGGATAGACTATTTTATTTAAATATTTAGCATTGGCTGTCATGATAAAGTGCTCATTTTCTCTTGTCATTTCTCACTTTAAGGTTGATGTTTCGCCTGCAGACCTGCAGCATGCATCATATTGTAGGAAAATAAATTGTCACAACAAGAAATGTAGAGATGTAAGTTGTGGTTACAACTATTAACAGTTGCAATCCATACTTTACAGTGTAATAACTTTCTTTCAATTCTCTTACTAGTCATTTTATATCAAATTTGTTTTAATTTGTATAGGTAATAGCATGATTTGTAGTGATATTTGGTATAAATACCACGAGCGATATTTCAAAATTGTTATGCGTAATTTCATGAGTCGTTAGGCAAGTGAAATTTGAGACAATTTTGAAATATCACGAGTGGTATTTATGCCAAATATCACGTACAAATTATGCTATTATTTGTTTATACTACTACCCGCAAAAGGTTTGTAATTTTCACATGTAGGTATTTCAAATTAAGCTGAAATACCACTGCTCTAAGCCAATCAAATTGCAGAAATTTCTCATGTAGTATTATAACATCTGGTATTTCTCATGCATTTTGTTTAACAGGTGAAATTAGAAGTAAATCACTTTAAAAGACATCAATATGCAAGAAAATGTACTCGGTGTGCGTACCTGTTGTCAGTTATACAGCATCATGCACAGACATGTCAGATGCGAGGGACATGTCGAGTTCCAGGCTGTGAAAATACTAGGTAACTACACTATGCACATAGACAACCTTTTGCACGAAAAAGCACCCCTCAAAAAACTGTTAGCTTACAGTGAATAAGTGGCAGTTTCTTGGTGCCATGGATGAGTGCAATGAATCATTGTGGAAGACCATTATCTGTTGATGAAAAGTTGACCAAAATTAAGGTTACAGATATTTATTTGGGATCAAGCAGTTCTACACAATATTATATTACTTTGTCATCATCTATTCCGTGGAATAACCTATTTTTACCTATTTTTAATATATGAGTAAGTGTTGATGTCCACCTTTTTATAATATATTATGTTCTTAAAAGGAATCGTGGAAACATTGGGTATCCTGTTCCTAGGCATAAAGTTCAACGGAAAGTTCCTGCACTACTAACGTGTACCTTGGGTGGAGGAAACAATTTACTCACTCCAGGGAAACGCAAAAGCCAATGCCAGAATTCGACCAGTGCAGATGATGGCTTATCAAGCAAAAATCCATATTGTGGCACAGTTCTGTTTCAGGTAATTTATTATAATATACAAATGACTGAACTCTGATTGACTGAATTCAATTCTAAGGAAAGCATTGCATGAAGAAACAATGTGTGCTTTTACCCTTTCTTTGAGACAATTAACCCACAATTTGGTGGCATTAACCAAATTTCAGGGAGGTTGTTTTCTCTGTGTGGAAGGTCTTGAACAAAATCCCATTTCCTAATACAAATACAGATGACTCCTGCTAACTTGAACCTCACACAAGCTCGAACCAAAGTCAATTTCCCCTGGATTTCCTTCATACATTTACTGTAATTTTACCCTCAGTAACTCAAACCCTTGATAAGTTGAACCTCCCGCTAACTCGAAGTAATCTTTGTTCCCTTCAGATCATTTCTATATAATTTTACCCTTGATAACTCAAACCATGTTATAAGCATGTGACAAGTCAGGAAAAAAACCATGCACTGAAGTCTGAGACATTGAATTTATTTCAAAGCAACCACGTCAATTCTTTGTCTTTACGTTTTTGTCACTCCAGTTCAAATTCAGTGTCCATTTCATCCATTCCTGTATACTTTGTTGCTTAATTGCATTCCCTCCCCATCCATTTGCATATTTTTCTTATTTGTGGTTATTTGCTTGAATTCCCGATAACTCGAACATTTTTCAATTTCCCTAGCAGGTTCAAGTTATCGGGAGTCGACTGTAGCTACAATCATGAAAAAGCAAGCCTATCTATCTCATCCCCAACCCAACTCACATTCAATGTTGAACTGAGCTTGTATGTATACAATGATATTTTCCTGGACTTAACACGTGTAAGCTGGGGGAGGGGAATTTCCATTAGCTGTCCTGTTGTACAAGCTCACTATTTATACAAAATGCTGTTAGCCAGCTCCCTAAGGTCCATTCTCTACTTTTTAGGTAAAGCTTGGTTCTCTTAATTCTCTTCTCAGCATCCTAAACGTCCTCCCATCAAAAAGGTTAAAGAAGATGAAGATTATCACGTTCAAAGGAATCAAAGCCTGGGAGCTGGTGTAAATGGAACTGTGTACCCGGCTTACTGGTACTTGGAATCAGGCACAAGAGAAGAGTTCGCTATAAAAAAGGTAAACTTTTGTTACTTATGTAATGGCGGTGGCCATAAGGAACCTTGTGATCTGACTATGTTCTTGCAAAATGGACTTCTATTTTTGAATTTCTATTTTGAGCAAAAAAAGCTTTCTTTTCTATCACTTTATTTGTACCAGCTACACATCTTAACTTTTCTTATTTCCACTTTATTATTGTCTCTTTTTTTGCTCTAGTCAAATTTTAGCGTAGAGGAAGTGAAGGTGTATGAAAAATTAGAAGACCACCCACACCTTGTTACTCACTATGGAGTAGCTTTCAGCAGTGAACTCAAAAAGGTTAACATTTTCATGGAGCTTTGTGGTATGTTCTTCTCATGTTGTTTGAGTTTATCTGTTGATTACAATGCTTTTTTTGACTGGAGGCTGATAAAGGACCGGAAGATGATCATGATTGCAAGTTTGTTTTGTCTTTTATTCAGTTAAGAACTGTTTAACCCAAATCAACAAAGGATACAACAATATTTAACTGAACTTGGACTGCTTATATTAACCCCCTATCAACATGCATATTCTCCTCATTCAGTCCTCCCCATACTCTGTACTGGGGACATTAAGATCCGAGGACGGCAACGGCAGCCAAAACATTGCTTAAAAAGTTAATTGGCATTCATCCAGTCTTCATCGCAACAGTTCCAACTCACTTACTTTGTCAAATGTAGGCGAAGTCTCCAGGAGTTGAATTCCTAAAAACCATATTCAAGTTCAGAATGAGAAAGAAAATTTCATAGTAGCTTGTTTACATCCTCCATAAACTTTGAAATAAGGCATTTTCACGTCGTAGTCATGCAGTGACGGCAAAGAAATGTACAAAAAAGAGTGATGAACGTGCAAAGTTGTTGTTTTGCAAATCTTAACCTTTTGCTTTTTTGATGTTCCCGTTGCCTTCACTGTCGTCGGATCTTAAAGGTCCCTGCTAACTTTCTTAAGGTGAGATCTATTCAAGAGAATTTGTTCAAACATGAATATATTCCAATTTTTGGTGATCATTTTATTTTCTCATTACTTCTGTGTTTGATTCAACAATATTGTCAGCAGAAATTAGAAGCTGGTCACTTTTGGGGCTTAAAGGTTAACTCCTGTACACTTAACAACTTACAAATGACTTAACCATAACTTAGACATGGCTGATCACCTACTATGTTTTTTGTTGGCAGATGGCAGCCTCTTTACCTACATGAAGGAATTAAACCGAAGGCTTACAGACAAAGAGGCCATGAATTTTTTTATTCAAGTACTTATAGCAGTCTGCTATTTGCATAGCCTAGGAATTATTCATAAAGATCTAAAAGGTAAAATAAGTTATCAGAGGTGTTCTATATGCTATCTTATTGTTATTACTGTTGTTGTTGTTATTATTACATTATTATTAATTATTCTTATTATTATATTACTTGCGGGTGTTTAGGGCTGAGACATTATTATTACCCAATGTGTCCATGCGGTCAGTAATCTCTCAAAGGTTTCACTTAATAATGTTCCCTCTACCTGGCTAAAACGTGAACTGAAGCGTAGCCCTTGACGTTTTAAATGACTGCATTGTTGATTTTGAATCACTTAGTGAATACTTCATTATGAAATTAATGAACAAGCAAAGTTTTATCCAGTTTGCATTATGCATGTAGTTACAGTTTACTGTTTAGATTGAACAAAACATTGTTTTTGATGCTTTTCTGCTTTGTCAATTTTCTTGACATTGTTTGAACCTGTTTGATTAACTGACAAGTGGTTAATACAGACACTTTGGTATGTCACATATTAATAAGCGGGTTCCACTACAATCAGTTTGTTTTGTGTTTTTGCAGCACAAAACATAATGCTAAAGGATAATGTTGTCAAGGTGGGTGATTTTGACGCAGCCAAAATACTTACAGAGGAGATGACGGAGGCAGGGCTTCACCCTCGAGGTACAAGGGGCTTTGCTGCATTTGAGGTATTGTCCTTGTTATCAAGCTCATTTGACTTGTACTGTACCCACTGTAATGTATAGTCTCTTTACGTCAGGCCTCTAGGGATTTCCCTGTGTTCCGGCTTCTACAGATATGACTCAACCCTTTATGTCCCAAGATCCACATACAAATTCTCCAGACTTATCTCCATACATTAATTTCTTTTAAGAATAGTTGATTTAAGGTTGAGGATTGGTTAAAAGTCTGACTTTGATCACGCACATAACAAAAAAGAAAAGAATGTAATGCTCAATTATTGTGTCATGAGTCAAGTGAGATGCACAGAAATTCGAGCCCTCAATGGCATTCACACCCATCTTATGGGTCTGGTGCCACAGATACTGAGCTGCAAGCTAGGACACGTACTCTGTACATGGGACGCCAGGGAAGGTTCTTTTAGGAATGTTTGGGACACCACAACCCTAAGCTTATACCAGACCTACTGTTGTTCAGCCGGATTTTTCCCAGCTTCCCCCACAGAAATGCTATTTCCCAGAAATTATTGTGGTCAATGCTTTCTTTTCTGTTAAACTGAGTTATGGGTAATTAAAAATTAGGCTTTTTTTTTTTTTTAGTGTCATTTCCCGGTTTCCCTTGTCTTCAACCAAATGATCAGTTTTATAGAAAATGACCCCTATGCTAATTCTTAACTCTCTGATTTCTTCACCCAATCCCAGACAAAGTTCCTTGAAAACTATACCCTTCACTGCAGCACATACCTATATATACGTAGTAAAGTCCAGCTAGTGTTCTATTATCAATGCTGCGTTCTGATTGGTTGAGCTACTACTAGGCTATATGTTATAGCCCACTAGTAGCGAAAAACGCGGGCTCTTTGGTGGCAAAAAGGGATTTAAGTCTAGCTTTAACTAGCTAAATTTTTTTTCTTGACATTTTTGACCAACTAGTTGGATTTTACTAAAACAATATTATTCCTCTCGCCCTCATGGCCTCTGAGTCAATAGCCCATGAGGCCGAAGGCCAATTGGGCTATTGACTCAGAGCCCATTCAGGCTCGAGGAATAATTATTGTTAAATATCCGATATATGGCAGTAACCCCTCCCTTCCCCCCTAAAGGGTAGGACACATTTCACTACTGCTAGAATCCTGTATGATGAAATATAAAACTTTTGTAGTCTCATGGCAATGAAGCCTCATGGGAGGCCAGCAGATGTGTTTAGCTTGGGCGTGCTTTTGCTTGAGCTAACAGTAGGAGCTCCCTCTGAAGATCCAGAGTCATTGGTACTGAAGGTATATATGCACATGGCTTTGCAGTTTCACAACTAGTCTTAACTACATGTATAACAAAATCCTCAGTTATGGTTGGCAATAAACTGTCCTGATTTCAGCACAAATGCCAGTATTCTTCCTCATCTTCTGAAATGAAATTTTACTGTGGAATTATTTATTTTCCTTGCCGCGGAATCAGGACACAGATTTTTCTTTTGCCTTTTTTTCGTGATGTAATAAACATTTAATCCTTCGTATTTATTTGTTTTGTGCATGTTCTGCCTGTCGTTGGTTCTCACTTTTAGTCCAATAATATATTTTACTCAGAGCACTTACCATTTCTAGCTAGCCAAACCAGTCTATCTGAAAAGAGAATTTTGAATGGCAACAGCGTGCAAAGAAAGTGGTGTCTGATAGCTTGGGATTAGTGGATTTTGCTATCGGGCTCGTGAATTCCGTTCTTACGTTTTTGAGGAATTCAAATTACAGAAGAACTGTGTAATGAATCCTGCTCATCAAAACGTTTTTTGGGCTAGTTGAAATGAAGTTTGGGCTAGTACTTGCTGGCTACAGCTTGCCTGAATGGCATGCTGTAAAACTGACTTTGATCCATGATGGCAAGTCTTAAAGCGAAAACTATCGAAAAAAGCTTATTTCGTTTTCAAACTGAGGGATCAGGCTGGTCAGTTCTGAATTCTGGTAGGCACCCTTACGAGTTGTTGAGTGTGATATTGGTCAAACTAAGAGATCATAATCGGATTCTATTATGATCTCTTGGTCCAACCTATTTTACTCAGGGAAAGCGGTCTTTATGCGCCCATTGCACAGCCTCGTCAGCATCACTTATAAGAGTTCAATGTCCCTGTGCTATTTACCTGACAATAAATCCTCCGTGTACAGAAAGTCCTCATCTCTCAGATTTTCAGTCCTAAAATGTTGCTCCATCAGGCTCATTGGATAAGTAATGTCTTATATACCTCCCCACCCACCCCTAGTTAAGATAGGTCCTTGTTGGGTCCGCCCTGTTGTGACCAGTTCCCCTACTTCAGTATCACATACAACTGCTGTTAACTTATCTATGTGATGTACAATGTTAATATAATTATTATTGTTTAAACAGATTAAGGAGTTAGAAGCCAAATATGCTGATTTGGCAAAGTTAGTGAAAGCATGTGTACAGGTGAGAAAAATGTTTTTCCTTTAGTGCTAATGTAAATGTGTGAAAGTGGCATGCATCTTCATTCTTGCCGTCTACTAGCCTGCGACCAAGGTCGGGGGAGAGGGGGGGCTCTGGATGCAAGGGAGAAAAGAGGGACCTCTGTCGTAACAAGCATGTGCTTCCGGATTGCAAGTCCATCGCTCTAATCGCTTAGCTACGCTGTCTGCTGTCAGTAAGAAAACGATATGTATCTTCTTTCCCCATAAACAGTTTTTTTTTTTTTTTTTATTATTGATAAATTTGAGGACCCTGTACCCGAAGAGAAAAAGAATATTTGTGAGTAATATAAAAGAAAAAGAAAAAGAATATTTGTGAGTATGAAGATGTAAGTTTTACGATACGTGTAATTAGACGTAACAGCGACACAGCTTCAGCTTTATTACATATTGTATTTCCATACCGATATTGCCACACCCTCATACAGAAAAGTCGTTGCGTCACGTTGCCATAGTAGCAAAATTTGTGGATCTCAACAAACCGTGGTCCTTCAAATATGGCAGAAAAAACGATGAAAATGACATGTGTGTCTTTCCTGTGCATCATTACACTCCGAAACAAAACAGTAGGCCATACTTTCCTTCCATCGACAAAGCAAATGGCCGTCTCTGTCAAGAAAGATTGTTGAGATCCGGAAACTTTGCTACCGTCGCCACTTTAGAAACGAGAAGGGAACTGGAGTCGAAATGCTTCTCGCAATTATTTCTGGGATCGTTACTGATGACGCGCTTGTCAGCTATTGGCTTATTTTTTTCTTGTTCCTTGTAACAGTCCCAGTCCCATCACACCGGTAATCGCGAGGTCACGGGTTCAAACCCCGTTGAAGTCCTGAATTTTTTTCAGGCTTCTTTACGCAATTGCATAAATTGCGTTCACTGCGATGATCATTTCTTCAATTTCATTTCATTTCCGCAGTTCATATATGATTTATTTCATATATCATTAACAGTCCCAGAAGTCTTTGCGAAAGTCAACTCAGCCCAGGTTCTTTCTAGTTACTCAAGAGGTGAATGGTAACGTGACGTTGCACTTCTCTATACCGTGCTGTAAAATAGTGCAGCTCCATTATTTGTTTTGCGTACGACGTACGAATTTTTTACACGTTGCTGATAACGGAATAAGTTGTTGCTATTTTATGTCTTCACAGGAGGATCCAATGCTCCGTCCCACGGCCTCCTCCTTGTTACACTGTGAAATTGTCCGTAATTACAGGTAATGTTGTCAGAATTGACGTTAAAGCCTGATTTAATTGGTGAGGTTTTCGTTCTCTGGTTTTTCTGACTATTCTGTTATTTGCTCTTTCTTATAGGTCTCTAATCAGTGATCCGTTACCTTGCTTGTAGCTCAGCTCAGTCGCTTCATGAGCAGGACATAGTGTAGCACCAATATAGATTACTGTCTGGTTTCGCTGCGTGCTATTTCGCTACATATTCGCTCTGCATTCTTTTCTGTAGACCTTTGAGAGGGTATATCTGGTATAACCTGTTGTATTTTCCCTTCTTTAACCCTGCCCCACCAGAGGTGCAAGTTTCCTGTTTTGCCAGAACATAGCGGACCTTAGCCTCCCACGCAGGCGTTTTTAGGGGAGCTCGTATTTCTTCTCTCCCCACAAACGCCTGCTCAACAGAGGACAACATTCCTTTCCCATTGTTGCATTCGCGCGGTAAGTGACCAATCAACGGTTTTTAAATAAAGTGTTGACAGGCTAAACATGACTCATAAGCTCGTGATAGTGAAAAAACGTGACCCAGAATGTGACCCTAGAGTTACCTTTTTCCTTCTTTTCTTTCGTTCGCTAAGGTTATGCAGTGCACAGAGAATTCTAAAATCTGACTGAGTAAATCTTACTTTTGCCGCTCTGAGACTAACATTTATTAGAGGTCATGAAGGTTTCTTAAAGTTTCATGCAGATCGCGTGATTATCGGGTTACCCTGCGGTCAAGGTCAACTTTCCAGAATTTGGAAAGTACAACGTGATTGGCTAAGCGTGGGAAAGGAATGTTGTCCTCTGTTGAGCAGGCGTTTGTGGGAAGGAAAGAAATACGAGCTCCCCTAAAAACGCCTGCGTGGGAGGCTAAGCGGACCTAGGATGTAGATAGCGAACTCGCACCTAGCGAAATCGACAGGTAGATAGTCTCCGACGCAGCCTAATAAGACGGCTGTCTGGGAGACCAACGAGTGTAAAACTTTAATTTTAATTTTTATCGAGCTTTAAAAGATAAAACTGGTGTAAAGCTGTTCTGGAGTTTAAGTCTCGCGCGCATGCAGCTAAAACCCTTGTAGTATCTTGAGGTGATGTTGCACAGAACGATTCTTAACGACGATTTCGTTGCGTTAAAAGTTGATATCGTGTAACATGGATGCGTGGACGATTTTCTACTCAATGTTTGGGTTGCATGTTTTTAAACAGGCTTCATATACCTACAAGGCCAAATCACGAATTCTGCCCAAGTTAATTCGTGTAATATACTTTT